GTGTGTGTGTGTGTGTGTGTGTGTGTGTGTGTGTGTGTGTGTGTGTGTGTGTGTGTGTGTGCGTGCGGGGGTTGGGCGCCCCCCCCCCTTGACCGACCAATCAATCAATCAAAAAACCAAAAAAAAAGTCGACGAAAATGAAAGCGCATTTGTGCGGCCTCTTTTTTTTTTTTTCTTTTTTTTTTTTTGTGTGTGTGCATGTGTGGCACAGTGTGTGCGTGTGGTGGGAGGGTGACCCCCCTGCAATCAACCAATCAATCAATAACAAAACAGAAAACAGGAAAAAAAACTTTTTGTTTTTTTTTGGGGGGAATTTAAATGTGATTTGTTTTTGTTTTTTATTTTTTTGAATGCAAGGGAAAATGAGCGATAGAGAATTCCAGAAACCAAGCAGCATCATACACATGTAACCAGATAGTCGTGAACCTGAACCAAAAGCAGAATTGCAACACGAGTTCCACTGTAGCATATCAGAAAGTGAAATGCACTGAAAACCTAGGATCTAGCAATGACGAAAGTGGCAACAACCAGCAACATAGGTGCAACATTCACAAGGTGTCAATGTGCGCGATGCAAAGAGTGAAACAACGAGAAATCAACAACAACACATTTATATTATTATCATCATAGGCTGGGAAGCGGCGCAGCGGAAGATTTAGTATCAAAAGGACACGTGGACAACAACATGAGAGGGAGAAACTTCGGAAGGGCAAGACACTAGAAAAATTGTTCTTTTGCTCACACACATGGGGAGAGATCCATAGACATGCGAGAGAGAAGGGGGAGGGACATAGAGGTAACCAAGTCCAACCCAAGTCTGATCTCCGAATGTCGCACACAGTTCAATCCCAATGTAGAGTGTAAGTCCGATCTGAATGTCGTGTCCAATAAGGCAGAAGGCCGTGTCCAAACAATGTCTGCAGTTACCTCTATCTCTACTCTGATAAAGAAGAAGAAAAAGAAGAAGGAGAAGAAGAAGAAGAAGAAGAAGAAGAACTTCGGAGGAGTAGGATGAGAAGAGGAGAGAAGAAGAAGAAGAAGAAGAAGAAAGCTAGGCGCTTTCTGCACTAACCTGGAGATGGCTGAACTTGTAGGTACCGCGGAGCCAGCTATAGCGCTGGTACAGGTAAGTCCTCTTCTCTCTCTCTCTCTCTCGCTTACTCTCTCTCCCTCTCTCTCTCAACTCCACTACCCTCCTCGGCGCTGGACTCCTCTAGCGCTGTGCCTCATTGCCGATGAGCAGCGTAGCTGCAGTCTCGAAATAGCACAGCAGGGAGTCTCCAGAATAGCGCAGCAGTGAAGTTCCTGAACCAGCATAACGCTGGATTTCTCCTCGTACCCTCTGTCCACGAACTGGGCAACGGCCCAGCTTAAGTAGCGCTGGGCCAGGACTGAAAACCCACGGCCTGCGTTATGGACCGTGCAGATCGAAACTCCGATCCACGGTTCAGATTGCAGGCTTTGAAACTGGTTCAGTCCTTGGCCTAAAACGGCCTGCTTGGGTCCCTACCGGACGTCCAGGCCCTGTCCAGGATTCAGTTTCCTGGTACCTGGCTTCGAACCGGTCCTGTGCGGACGTACCCGGCCTCAACGTCAGCCTGGGTCCGAACAGGTAGCAATCTGTTCGAAAACAAAAGAAAAGGTCCAAACGTTTTTAGGAGCTCAGCCTCTGGGCCTGAATCTGGCCCTGGTCCTAAAACATGTACCTGGCCACAAAACGGACAACAGTACAACCGTTAGAAAAACAGCAGCAAATAAATAAATAAAAGAATATAAAAATAATCTAAAGTTGGCGTTTTTCTGATGCAGGCCCAAGTAAAAATGCCATACTAGGGCCTTCAGGTTGCGGTGACGCGACCTGGGGGCCCTTTTCCAACCTCGGGTCCCGTGAGGGGCCCGTGTRTAGGCTTTCAGCATGTAACACGCCCCCCTCCTTATGAAGACGAGCCGGGGCGCGGGCGAAGCTGCCGATCCGATGGCGGAATGTAGCGAGGAAGGCGAGGAGGTAGAGTGCTCGGCGTAGTCTTCCCTTTGCTAAGATAACGTGAGAGAACGGCGGGAGTTCTGGCCTGCAGTTCCGAACGCGTCATCCAACGGTCAGCCTTGTGGCTGCAGTAGGAAAAGTGAAGTAGAAACTCTGTTTCTTTGTTGCCATAGCGCCGGTCGGTGATGATGTAGCCGGCTTCCTGAAATCCGTCCATGGAAGGAGGGTCTTGTGTACGTCGACCGGGAAACTCGTCGGACTCCGCTGAGACGAAAGGAGCGAGTTTGGAACAGTGGAACACTGTGTGGACGGGCAAGTGAGGTGGCACCACTATGCGGAATGAAGGCCCCTCGGGATCATCACCAACTGCAGAGAGAATGAGCCAAGGCCCCATCCACTTGGGAAGGAGCTTGCGAGAGATGTCGAGCTCAAGGCTGAACTCCGCGGCGGAGACCCAAACCAGATCGCCGGCGCGGAACGGGCAAGGAAGGCGATTGCGGTTGGCTTGACGGCTCATTCGTATTTGCGTCTTCGACATTTGATCCCGTGCCTTGACAAGAAGCACTTGCATGCGACGAAGGAACACAAGATGGTCGTCCCTCTCGGCTATGCGCGGCAAAGTGGCGTCCAGCGGCAATGAGATGGGTTAACCATGCTCAAACTCGAATGGCGACATCCCGATAGCCGGATGGATCGATGAGTTGTAAGCCAACTCAACGTCTGGCAAGCGCTCAACCCTATCAACCTGGTCGGGACGGATGAGAGTGCGTAGAAGGACTTGAGCAGTCTGATGCGCCCTTTCTATTTGACTATCGGTTTGCGGGTGGCGAGCCAAACTCGGCTTCGAAGATGAGCCCCATCGCTTGACGAGGGCGACCCAAAAGTCAGAGAGAAAGCGAGTGTCCCGGTCGCAAACGATCTCCTTGGGGTAGCCCTTGGAGCGAATCCAACCGGTGTATAAGACCTCGGCTAACTCAAGTGCCTTTGCGTGATAGCGGCAAGGCAAAAACATGGCGTACTTGGTGAGGCGGTCGACGACTGTGAGGATCCCATCAACGCCGGTCTTGTGCTTCGGAAAGGGGCCGGTGATATCCATAGCAATCGCTTCCCATCGCCCAAGGGGAACTGGTAGTGGGTGTAGCTCGCCAAACGGACGATGGTTGCGTGACTTGCAACGCCGACAGACTTCGCACGACTCACAATAGCGGGTGGCGTCCTTGAGAAGGTCGGGCCAATAGAACCGCTGGCGAAGTCGGCCAAGTGTACGGTTGACACCAAAATGTCCGGAGGCGGCGCATCGTGAAACTCACCAAGAAGCCGTGTGCGCAAGTGTGAATCACTCGGCACACAAAGAAGATCCTTACCCCGTGAATGCACAAGTAAGTAGCCCTCTTGGATCCGATAATGCGAAGGCACCGGATTCGGAGAGGAGCAATTCGCGTACTTGTCACGAAAGTGGGGGTCGGCTTAATAGTCGCGGATGAAGCTCTCCCGCAAGTCGTCGTCGATCTCGAAGGTAGAGTAGACTGCGGTGCAAAGTTCCGGTCGCCGTGAGAGGGCGTCCGCAAAACAATTTGACTTCCTGGGAATGTGATCGGGGAAAAAGTCAAACTGGTCGATGAAAGTCATCCATCGGGCAATGGTACTGTTAAATGTGTCTTGCGACTTGTAGAATACCAACGGATTGTTATCCGTTACCTATCGGAATGCTTTCCGACCAAGGAGGAAATGTCGCCAACGCTTGAGGGCGTGGACGAAGGCAAGAAGCTCCTTCTTCCGTGCGTCGTCGATCGAATGCACGGGAGGTACTTTCTTGCTAAAGTACTCGACCGGGTGCCAGTCCGTGCCATCGTGCTGCTCAAGGACGGCCCCAATGCCATAGCCCGATGCATCGGTAGTGACGCGCGTAGCTAGAAGCGGGTCGTAAATATGTAACACCTCGGCGGATAAGAGTGCCGCTTTGAGTGTTTCAAAAGAATGGCGCGCATCGCCGTCAAAGTCAAAAGGCCGCTCCTCGCTTTGTAACTTGCTTAGGTTGGCCGCGATCTTCGAGTAACTCTTGATGAAACGCTGGTAATAACCGGCCAAGCCGAGGAAGGATCGGAAGTCCGTCACATTCTTTGGCTCGGGCTACTCCTGGATGGCTTGAATCTTGTCATCCAACGGACGAATGCCTTCCGGAGAGACAAAATGACCCAAGTATTCAAGCTCTTGCCGGACAAACTCGCATTTGTGACGGTTCGCTTTGTACCGGGCTGACCGAAGAGTCTTTAGAACACGGCGAAGGTGCTCGAGATGCTCCTCTAGAGTTCGGCTATAGACGAGGATGTCATCTAAGTAGACCAAGACGAAGCGGTCCAACATAGCGCGAAACTCGGTGGTCATGGCCGCCTGAAAGGTGGCCGGGGCATTGGTGAGGACAAAAGGCATAACTACCCACTCAAAATGCCCATATCGCGTCTTAAACGCAGTTTTGTACCGATCTTGCAGGCGGATGGAAATCTAATGGTAGCCCGACTTGAGTTCTAACTTGGAAAAGTACTTGGCGCCGCCCAACCGCTCAAGCAAATCGTTAATGCGAGGTAGAGGCTCCGCGTTCTTGATGGTTTGCTCGTTGAGGCGTCGGTAGTCAATGCAAAGTCGAAGGTCCTTGTTCTTCTTCCGAACGAAGAGAACGGGCGCACCGTAAGGTGAGCTGCTAGGGCG